CATTCGGAACCCTGCCTTGCACTTGTTGTTCTTCATTCGGAACCCTGCCTTGCACTTGTTGTTCTTCATTCGGAACCCTGCCTTGCACTTGTTGTTCTTCATTCGGAACCCTGCCTTGCACTTGTTGTTCTTCATTCGGAACCCTGCCTTGCACTTGTTGTTCTTCATTCGGAACCCTGCCTTGCACTTGTTGTTCTTCATTCGGAACCCTGCCTTGCACTTGTTGTTCTTCATTCGGAACCCTGCCTTGCACTTGTTGTTCTTCATTCGGAACCCTGCCTTGCACTTGTTGTTCTTCATTCGGAACCCTGCCTTGCACTTGTTGTTCTTCATTCGGAACCCTGCCTTGCACTTGTTGTTCTTCATTCGGAACCCTGCCTTGCACTTGTTGTTCTTCATTCGGAACCCTGCCTTGCACTTGTTGTTCTTCATTCGGAACCCTGCCTTGCACTTGTTGTTCTTCATTCGGAACCCTGCCTTGCACTTGTTGTTCTTCATTCGGAACCCTGCCTTGCACTTGTTGTTCTTCATTCGGAACCCTGCCTTGCACTTGTTGTTCTTCATTCGGAACCCTGCCTTGCACTTGTTGTTCTTCATTCGGAACCCTGCCTTGCACTTGTTGTTCTTCATTCGGAACCCTGCCTTGCACTTGTTGTTCTTCATTCGGAACCCTGCCTTGCACTTGTTGTTCTTCATTCGGAACCCTGCCTTGCACTTGTTGTTCTTCATTCGGAACCCTGCCTTGCACTTGTTGTTCTTCATTCGGAACCCTGCCTTGCACTTGTTGTTCTTCATTCGGAACCCTGCCTTGCACTTGTTGTTCTTCATTCGGAACCCTGCCTTGCACTTGTTGTTCTTCATTCGGAACCCTGCCTTGCACTTGTTGTTCTTCATTCGGAACCCTGCCTTGCACTTGTTGTTCTTCATTCGGAACCCTGCCTTGCACTTGTTGTTCTTCATTCGGAACCCTGCCTTGCACTTGTTGTTCTTCATTCGGAACCCTGCCTTGCACTTGTTGTTCTTCATTCGGAACCCTGCCTTGCACTTGTTGTTCTTCATTCGGAACCCTGCCTTGCACTTGTTGTTCTTCATTCGGAACCCTGCCTTGCACTTGTTGTTCTTCATTCGGAACCCTGCCTTGCACTTGTTGTTCTTCATTCGGAACCCTGCCTTGCACTTGTTGTTCTTCATTCGGAACCCTGCCTTGCACTTGTTGTTCTTCATTCGGAACCCTGCCTTGCACTTGTTGTTCTTCATTCGGAACCCTGCCTTGCACTTGTTGTTCTTCATTCGGAACCCTGCCTTGCACTTGTTGTTCTTCATTCGGAACCCTGCCTTGCACTTGTTGTTCTTCATTCGGAACCCTGCCTTGCACTTGTTGTTCTTCATTCGGAACCCTGCCTTGCACTTGTTGTTCTTCATTCGGAACCCTGCCTTGCACTTGTTGTTCTTCATTCGGAACCCTGCCTTGCACTTGTTGTTCTTCATTCGGAACCCTGCCTTGCACTTGTTGTTCTTCATTCGGAACCCTGCCTTGCACTTGTTGTTCTTCATTCGGAACCCTGCCTTGCACTTGTTGTTCTTCATTCGGAACCCTGCCTTGCACTTGTTGTTCTTCATTCGGAACCCTGCCTTGCACTTGTTGTTCTTCATTCGGAACCCTGCCTTGCACTTGTTGTTCTTCATTCGGAACCCTGCCTTGCACTTGTTGTTCTTCATTCGGAACCCTGCCTTGCACTTGTTGTTCTTCATTCGGAACCCTGCCTTGCACTTGTTGTTCTTCATTCGGAACCCTGCCTTGCACTTGTTGTTCTTCATTCGGAACCCTGCCTTGCACTTGTTGTTCTTCATTCGGAACCCTGCCTTGCACTTGTTGTTCTTCATTCGGAACCCTGCCTTGCACTTGTTGTTCTTCATTCGGAACCCTGCCTTGCACTTGTTGTTCTTCATTCGGAACCCTGCCTTGCACTTGTTGTTCTTCATTCGGAACCCTGCCTTGCACTTGTTGTTCTTCATTCGGAACCCTGCCTTGCACTTGTTGTTCTTCATTCGGAACCCTGCCTTGCACTTGTTGTTCTTCATTCGGAACCCTGCCTTGCACTTGTTGTTCTTCATTCGGAACCCTGCCTTGCACTTGTTGTTCTTCATTCGGAACCCTGCCTTGCACTTGTTGTTCTTCATTCGGAACCCTGCCTTGCACTTGTTGTTCTTCATTCGGAACCCTGCCTTGCACTTGTTGTTCTTCATTCGGAACCCTGCCTTGCACTTGTTGTTCTTCATTCGGAACCCTGCCTTGCACTTGTTGTTCTTCATTCGGAACCCTGCCTTGCACTTGTTGTTCTTCATTCGGAACCCTGCCTTGCACTTGTTGTTCTTCATTCGGAACCCTGCCTTGCACTTGTTGTTCTTCATTCGGAACCCTGCCTTGCACTTGTTGTTCTTCATTCGGAACCCTGCCTTGCACTTGTTGTTCTTCATTCGGAACCCTGCCTTGCACTTGCATGCCGCCTTTCCTCCCACCACCTTGTACTGCGCATTAGCAGGGCAGCCAGCCTGGCATGCGGCTGCCACATGGAAAGTGGGGAATGGGAGATACAAGAACGAAGAAATGAAGGATGGGCGGGGAAAAGAAGGAGAGAATACAGTCAGATGGCATACATGAGATGGCGTACATGAGATGGCGTACATGAGATATGTCAACTGTAATGGGTGGAAGCTAGTGGATGGTGGAGGGGAGAGGGGAAGGCATGAGGCTCACTCAGGATGAAACAGTTTCTAAGAGGGCGATACAAATAGGACAGGATGCTTGTCTTCTCTCCCTTACGTGTGCACTTGTTGTTCTGCATTTGGAACCCCGAATCGCACTGACACTCCTCCCTTCCTTGCACCACCTTGCACTGCGCATTAGCAGGGCAATTGGCCTGGCATACGGCTGCCACACGAAAAAAGGGGGGGTTGCAAGGGACGGAAGGAATGGAGGATGAGCGGGGAAGAGAAGGGTGGACAGCATACAGGCTTGAGAGCAGAGGTTGTGAGTCATGGAGGTGGAGGGGTGGCGGTGGTGCGAATGCAGAGATGGAGGTGTAACCGGGCTGCACTGGCATGAATGAGAGCGAGACAGAGATCCAAGCATACTTGACTTTCCAGGTCCCTTACGTGTGCACTTGTTATTCACCACAAGAAAAAACTGATGGATTCTCAGACAAAAAACTGATGGATGCGACGTGATTCTGAGACAAGTCCTAAACAAGTGTCTTGAATTTAACGACATGTGCTTGCACTTACTGATCTCGCAACCAACTGAGCTCGGCAAATCCGTTGCTTTGAGAACAGTTCTGAGAGGAAGAAAGGATAGAAGGTAAGAAGGTAAGAAGGTAAGGACAGGGAAGACCACATACAAGGAAGAATTACGACATTCCCTCACATTCATGCTAAAGCAGGAAAAAGCAATCTGGTGACTTTAGTCAAATCCTTTCGTATGCGGTAGAAGCACACTAAAATAAACGCACTTTGTGTGGCATGCATCAAGCTCACACACCTATCCGTTACGGGGCAGAAATATGACCTTTGCATCCACACGAAAGCCATCACGCTCACACACCACACTTCATCACGCGTGCATCAAGCTCACACACCTTTCCGTGACGGGGTACAAACGGCCAACTTTCGCAGGGCGCGCGATCGTCAACCCCGGCTTGCCCGTGCAGCCCGGGTCATCGTGGAACGTCAGGCTCTTGCACATGCCGTTGCCAGCCGCAGCAACGGTGGAGTCATTCCACACGACGGAGATCCTGGTTTCGCCGCCAAACATGACGCTGAACTTGAGGTTGGTACACGTGGTGGTGCCACTGGTTTGCTCTGCTGGCACCGAGGTCTCAAAGTTTAGGCTCTCCACGTAGATTGGATAGTCCTTCACCTGCAGCTGCATCGTCGTCCGGAGGATGAGGCCTGAGCGTCGGTGCCGTGACCGTTGACGCAATGGTTGGTGCCACAACCGATGGTTGGTGCCACAATGCCGCAACCGATGGTTGGTGCCGCAATGCCGTACCGTGGCCGTTGAGGTGAGGGTTTGGAGAAGATGATGGGGGTTTGGAGGCATCGCGTTGGTGGCGAGGAGGGAGGGAGTATGCAGAGGGGATGATGTGGGGAGGAGTGAGGAGAACAAATAAGTAACTCAGCTTGTAAGTGGAATAGTACGTCTGCTGAATAGTTCTCAGGCAGAAGCGCTGACTGTTAAAATGAGTCTGTTTCGAGACATGTATCGTCCCCAGCTCACCAGAGCAGCACTCACCAGAGCAGCACTCACTGTAGCAGCACTCACCGTAGTAACAGCACTCACCGTAGTAACAGCACTCACCGTAACAGCAGCAATCACCTCACCAGAGCAGCACTCACCGTAGCAGCACTCACCGTAGCAGCACTCACCGTAGCATGTCTTGTTAACTTCATCGAAGATCAAGCCACCAAGGCACCCGCACTCGGCAGTGCCATTTTTCCCCACACTGCAGAAACCATCGAGCCCGCAATCCTTTTCATTACACGGGCCTGCAGGAGTTGATTACACGGGTAGTTGCGAGAAGGCGCAGGGAAAGGAGGGTAAAAGAAGGGCTTGTTATCTGATGACGTGTAGTTACTGACCTTCCACCACTCACTCACTGGCACTCACCATGGGAGTTGGACATGTTGAAATGTATGTACACGTGCATGTTTCACACCGCATCTAAGTGGCGATGCTGCTGGAATGCCTCAAATTTGTCTGTTTCAATGTGTCCTCTCTCCAGCTCACCAGTGCAGCAATTATCACCATAGCACGTCTTGTACAAATTCATTGAACACAGAACCATCCGAGCTCTGGCACTCAGCAGTACCATCAGCAGCCACAACACACGTAGCGTTGATCCCACAGTCCTTGTTGTCACACACGTCCGGAAAGAATGTGTTGTTCCGACGTTGATTAGGGAAAAGGGGTCACAAGATCAGGCGACCCACACTCCACGACTTCACACTCCACACCACTCACCCACACTCCACCACTCACCACCATCGCATGTCTTGTCAGACTCGCTGAAGATAAAACCATTCGAGCACTGGCACTCAGCAGTGCCATTAGTAGACTCACACATAGCATCGGTCCCACAATCCTTGTTGGCACACAGATCTGCACAGGAAATCATGCATTGTACCGACATAAATTAGGGGAAAGGGGTCACAGGATCAAATGTTTCTCACTCCACCACTCACCCACACTCCAGCACTCACCCACACTCCAGCACTCACCCACACTCCAGCACTCAACCACACTCCAGCACTCACCCACACTCCAGCACTCAACCACACTCCAGCACTCAACCACACTCCAGCACTCAACCACACTCCAGCACTCAACCACACTCCAGCACTCAGCCACACTCCAGCACTCACCCACACTCCAGCACTCAACCACACTCCAGCACTCACCCACACTCCAGCACTCACCCACACTCCAGCACTCACCCACACTCCAGCACTCACCCACACTCCAGCACTCACCCACACTCCACCACTCACCCACACTCCACCACTCACCCACACTCCTCCACCACTCACCCACACTCCACCACTCACCCACGCATGTCTTGTCAGAATCGTTGAAGGTACTAGAACCATCCAAGCACTGGCACTCAGTAGTATTCCCATTAGCCACAACACACTTAGCAGCGGTCCCACAGTCCTTGTTCCCACACACATCTGCACAGGAAATCATGCGTCATCCCGACGTTAATTTGGGAAAAGAGGCCACAAAGATCGAATTTTTCGCTGCAGACGTCACATTCCAGCACTCACACACGCATGTCTTGTCAGACTCGCTGAAGATAAAACCATCCGAGCACTGGCACTTAGAAGTGCCATTAGTAGTCACACACATAGCATCGGTCCCACAATCCTTGTTTCCACACAGAGCTGCACAGGAAATCAAGGGTTGTTTCGAGGTAAAGCAGGGAAAATGCGTTACAAGTGCGGAGATCCTTCTAATCATTAGATCTTCGTTGCCCTCACTCACACTCCGGCCGGCCCACACTGGCAGTCAGCCTACTCACCATCAACATCGCTGGCGTGGGTCGCGAGGAGAAGCAGTTGGGTGCCATGGCACTGCCAGTGGTGTGTGGCAGTCAGCCTACTACTCACTATTAGCGCTGGCGTGCGTCGCGAGGAAGCTGATGGCAACGAGTCCTGCGAGGCCACACAGGCCGGACAGGTCAGACCGCCGCCCATATGGCTTCATGACGGGGAGCCAGGAGACGGCCGAGGAAAACGGAGAGACGGGGAACGATCACGGGCGGCGCGATGGCAAAACGTTTTGCTGGTCGCCTCACAGCAGACGGCCCCGGGCCGGGGAAACGGGGGAAGGGGGTCGACTTGAGCCGCGGCAACGTGGTGAGATTCGGAAGGGAGGAGACACGAGATGAGCGAGCAGCGGTGTGAGAATGTGATTGCGGCTTCGGAAGCGGTCATCAAATTTATGTGCTGTGAGTTGGACAATTCCCGCACATTGATTTATTGCTCCTATAATTCCATCAACCTGACTCTCGCGCAGCGCCGCCGGATTCGCAGATAATGCAACGCCTTTCGTTGCGGAAAAGGGTGGAGCGCGCCGAGGGAGGCGCAACAGGGACACATAGCGGCCGCGTAAGGGGGGGGTTGAGGGGGACGTCTCCTGCGCCGCCGGCCTGGAACGTGCATTTGCGCAGCCTTACTGTCACGCATCCGGATTATGTGGTAGGTAGGAGTCAGTAGGGGGTGTAGTAGCGAGTTTCGTCATGAGGGGGAGGCCGCGAAGGGTGGGGTACTGATCAAACGATTCTATTGGGCGAGGTGGAATTCAAGCTCCCGCGACTGCGCGCTGCGCGCATTGCGAAAGGCCTCCGCCTCTAATAATGGTAGAGCGCTCGCGCACAGCAGGGTTGCGAGAACTGCGGGACTTGCGGGAGTGATTACGGCGATTGCATTATTGTTGTGTGTGCAATTGAACAATGTGAGCGAAATGCATCAGCGAAGTATAGTCGTCTTGGACTATGATGCTGACTCAGGGAAAGAACACTGGGTATTGCGAGAAGTCTGACTTTGCTGACTCAGGGAAAGAATACTGGGTATTGCGAGAAGTAGTACTTGCTGACTAGGGTAAGAACAATTATTGCGATAAGTTGGACTTTGCTGACTGGAAGCCACCTTGCTCGACTTTCACCTCCCCACCCAAACCACCAGGCACTCACCTCGAGCAAGATTGTGCGCGTAAATATTTTTGCTCAGATCGTCGCGACGATGGTATGATAGCACGGTTACCTTTTTAGCCAGATATCGCAAACTTCTTCGTATGACCCCCATACGACGTCGCAGGCGTCCGAGCACTTCTGACACTTTTTGCCACGAAAGGGTTTCCCGCCACCGTTTTGCAAGAGCGACTTTCGACCGAACGTGGTTGGTACGGACGAGAGACGGACGGTTTGGCAGACTGGTCCGGACATTTCATCGTACAGTAAGCGAAAACCGTTACACGCCCATGCAAACTGTTATGAGTTGAACTAAAAGAGTGCGCAAAATGAGTTAACGAGACTCCTGTCCATCAATGTAAGTGACGAGCAAATCTAGAACATTCCTAGAAAGGCAAGGACATCGGGGTGAGGGTGTCAAATTACATTTGTTATCTCTAGGCTGTAGTGAGGCTTACCCTAAGGGGTACAACACTTTAGGGTTAGGTACTTGTACTCATGCATGCTACCTAGTCCATCATTCCTGCTTGCTTATTCTAACATGGTATTAGAACATGATCGTTCCTAGGGCCCACCGAACGTGTCGCCCTGCCCTGCCCGTAAATTTTTCTTCCTACGCTGCCCCTGCAGCCGTGCTGCCCTAGCAGCCCGCGCGCTGCCTCTGCGACCACGCTGCCCCTGCAGCCGTGCTCGCTCTTGAGACCGCGCTACCCCTGCAGCCCGCGCTCGCCCCTACAGAGTGTGCTGCCCCTGCAGCCGCGCCTGCCCCTGCAGCCCGCGCGCTGCCCTCTGCAGCCCGCGCGCCGCCCCTCGCAGAACGCGCTGCCCCTGCAACCGCGTCTGCGCCTGCAGCCCGCACGTCGCCCCTGCAGCCCGCGCGTCGCCCCTGCAGCCCGTGCGCGCTGCCCCTGCAGCCCGCGCGCCACTCCTGCAGCCCGCGAGCCGCCCCTGCAGCCCGCGCACTGCCCCTGCAGCCCGCGCGTCGCCCCTGCAGCCCGTGCGCGCTGCCCCTGCAGCCCGCACGCCACTCCTGCAGCCCGCGCGCCGCCCCTGCAGCCCGCGCGCTGCCCCTGCAACCCGCACGTCGCCCCTGCAGCCCGCGCGTCGCCCCTGCAGCCCGTGCGCGCTGCCCCTGCAGATCGCGCGTCGCCCCTGCAGCCCGCGCGTCGCCCCTGCAGCCCGTGCGCGCTGCCCCTGCAACCCGCGCGTCGCCCCTGCAGCCAGTGCGCGCTGCCCCTGCAGCCCGCGCGCCGCTTCTGCAGCCCGCGCGCCGCCCTGCCGAGCCGCGCCGCCCTGCCCGAGCCGCGCTACTTCTGCTGCTACTACTGCTTTCTAAAAAAAAAAAAAAGGGGGGGTTTCCACTAATGCGGCTCCCGCTGCTATTGCTGAGTTGTGCCCTGTCGAGCAGCGCTGCCCTGCTCCTACTACTATCGCTATTACTGCCCTTGCGCCGCTGCTCCTGACTGCCACTGCCAGCCATGGCCACTATCGCGACAGTTGCAGCGGCTAGGGGTGGACAGCAGCGGGTACTGCCTCTCCCGGACGACCCCACCCCTCAGCAGCTTCGTGAGTGGGTTTTCAGCGAGCCCGTCCTGGTCATGGAGGTTTTGGTTTTACGTGGCCTAAGCGACCTCGCGACTGTGCTTCTCAGCGATGCGTCCCTGGTTGTGTAGAGATTGCTGCTCTCGATTCTAGTGAGTCAGCTGCCGCTCCAGGTGCTGGTGAGTCTGCTCCAGCTCTAGGTGCCCGTGAATCTGCCGACGCTCTAGGTGCTAGTGCGTCTACTGCCACAGGTCCTGCCTCAGCTGAGGACTTGCACACTTTCACGCTTGATTCAGGCGCGTCACGTTGCTTCGTTCGTGATTGCACCACAGTCACACCACTCGCAGCACCTGTCCCAGTCTCACTGGCTGACCCCTCTGGGGGCCCAGTAGTTGCGCGAGCCTCCACTGTCATCCCGTGTCCAGCATTCCCCTCCGGTTCTCTGTCAGGTCTCCACCTCCCCACGTTCTCGACGAACTTGGTGAGCAACGCTGCCATTCAGGATGTCTGGGTTGATACCTTTATTCCTGGAGGGCAGCGTGTGGCGATCTGTACGTGCTCCCGGACTGGCCGTCACCTAGCTACGTTCACTCGACGGCCTGGGTCTAGTATGTACACACTGACCACTGCGTCTGCACAAGTGGCTGAGTCAGGTCAGGTGGCTGCGTCGAGTCGGGTGTCTGCGTTTGGTCAGCTTGCCGCGTCTTGCTCGTGTCGGGTACTCTCCCACCATAATCTCCTCTGGCACCACCGCCTCGGTCACCCCTCTGTGCCGCGTCTCCGCAGCATGCACTCACGTCTCCTTGTCTCTGGTCTTCCCGAGTCCCTGCCCTCCCTCCCGCGCTCGCCTGCCCCACCGTGCCTTCCCTGCGTCGAGGGGCGGCAGCGCGCCGCTCCTCACTCCTCCGAGTTTCCTCCGACCACTGCTCCTTTGCAGACTCTCCACATGGACGTGTGGGGCCCGGCCCCCGTCGGTGGAACGGACCAGGAGCGCTACTTCCTACTGGTTGTTGACGACTACACACGCTACACCACTGTCTTCGCCTTGCGGCGCAAGGCGGACGTCAGCGGTGTTTTGATCCCCTGGATCCGTGCTACTCGTCACCAGCTGCGCGAGCGGTTTCGTCGGGACTTGCCAGTCCTGCGTCTGCACTCTGACAGGGGTGGTGAGTTTTCTTCCGGCCTCCTTGCGGAGTTCTGTCGAGACGAGGGCATCATCCAGTCGTTCACGCTTCCGGCCTCTCCGCAGCAAAATGGGATTACTGAGCGTCGCATTGGCTTGATCATGGAGGTTGCTCGTACCTCCATGATCCATGCGGCTGCTCCCCATTTTCTGTGGCCGTTTGCGGTACGATACGCTGCGCATCAGCTCAACCTCTGGCCCCATGTCTCTGAGCCAGAGACCTCGCCCACACTCCGGTGGACGGGGAAGGTTGGCGATGCGTCGGTGTTTCGGGTCTGGGGCGCGCTCTCCCTTGTTCACGATGCCAAAGCGAGCAAGCTCTCCTCTCGCACTCTCCGCTGCATCTTCATTGGCTTCCCCACCGACGCCCCACCGTGGCAGTTGTACTACCCGCGCGAGCGTCGAGTCTTCTCCTCCCAGGACGTCACCTTTGACGAGTCTGTCTGCTTCTACAGACTACACCCACACGCGTCCCACCCGGACCCCCTCGCGCCTCTCTTCCTGGTACCAGTCCCCCCCCCGGTAGACCCACTCCCCCTACAGGGTCCTGCTCCCTCAGGTGTGTCTCAGGTATACCCACCCCCCTTGGATGAGCCAGTGGAGATCTCGTCTGACTCCTCTGGCCCAGCTGAGGGGGGTGACCCCGCCGCAGACGACACGGCGGCCACTCGCCG